ACGTGCCGACATGTTATTGGTCACTATTACTTGAAGACAACCCCAACAGAAGATCAGGGATTGGGCGCTGAAGGGGGACATCAACACAGATGTTTACACCTTTGGGATTTCTCGATTATCATGATTCTGACATTTTCCCATGTGGCTAAGCTGGTGAACAATTACTGCCAACAGCGTTTTGAAAGGGCAGCCTGTTTTCGCACTGTATTCCAATGAGCTGACATGTTATTGTTCATCATTACTGGAAGGCACCCCCATCATTATTGGAAGGTTTCAAGACAGATGTTTTCACCGTTGGGATTTCGTAGTTATCGAAATTTAGACATTTTCCCATGTGACTGAGCTGGTGAATGCTTGCTGTCACTGCGGTAATCTGATAATGGTTATGTCAACGGAGTGTAGTGCCAAGAGGAAAAACGTGGCCAAGTGAGAAAGCAGCCCTAACTAATGAACCAGTCCTGAAAGGCCTTACCAGCCTCGAAGCCTGACAAAAAAAAAAAGAATTAATCAGGGTGTTGGAGGAGAGACCGTTGGCATTGATTTTGCTTGAGTCGCAAACTTTCATATCTGATTTGTACATTTTGTTTTCTTTGTTTTGCTTTTTCGTATTATTTAAGTATGCAGTGGGGGAACATAAAAGCCAACTTTAAGTGAGAAGTGACAGGCGATCTGAACAACACTCCCTACCGACCGCTGAGGACCTCTGAAGCGAGCGCGGCGAGTGACAGGCACCGTTGTCCTTGGCTTCAGCGAGCGGTAGGTGACCCCTCCCTGGGTTTCCTCACAACGGTTCCGAGCAGGAGATTCACTCTCATTTTGCATATTTGGCGGGTTTCTGGAGCAGGCCGCTGCTATGTATTTGTGTTCGAACGTGTGCCCACGGCCTCAAAAACGCACTGAGCTATTGGGAAAACACCGACCGTGGGCCCAACGGGGAATCTTGGTTTTCCCAACACTGGCGCTCCGGCCTCGTGGAATATATTGCGAGGACCACGATTACTTTAAAGAAGGTAAGGGATACTATAGTTGTTTTTCTTAAGGACCTTGAGGTTATAAGAGAAAGGTAACCACAACTAAAATAACAACAGCATGTGATAATGTGTTTCATACCTTTGCATTCTCTGTCATGACACTTGAAATGGCACGTCCTTGATCTACAATTTACAACACACATAACTGAAACAACAGAAAAAAAAAATATATTAATCATATATACAAAAAGGATACCCAGTCACTTGCGGAAGGTAAATAGTTCATTTGAAAGCAATCCTAGAAGAGTTTGAAAATACCACTCCGTGAACCTATACAAGGGACACCCTGGAAGCATAGGCCACCTATCACAACCAAACATAAGTCACATCTCATAACAAAGGGGATGCATGTTGCCCCCCGACTTAATTGGCTGTTCTCAAAGAGTTCGGTGGGGTCACTGGTGAAGTTAGCCAGGTAGAACAAGAACGGTGAGGACGAGATAGGGTCACTGGTGAAGTTAGCCAGGTATAACAAGAATAGTGAGGACGAGATACCACGAGGAGAAGAACAAGGAGGACAAGCAGCATGAAGAGCTCCACCTACAACTTTTTTTTCAAGTGCATATAACACTCATGGTACAAAACAAAAAACTATTCTTCTAGAGTGCTCATGAATATTTTTGAAGTGGATGGAACAATTAGCGGAAGATAGAATGAGATTAGCGACTAGTTTTTGGGACTTGTGATTCAGACCATAAAAAATGTGACTTACTGGGATTGGGACTCGTGACCACGACCTGGAAATTGGGGCTGGGACATAAGACTTGACATTGGGTCTGACTTTACGAAGATTGCTTACCCCAATGTGCGCCTGTTGTCTCCCTCGCCTCTTGTGCGGGTCTGACTTTACGAAGACAGCCATGCCAAGAGGAGGGAAGGGGACACGGCCGCCTCAGAGGTCGTTGGGTGCATCAGGAGGATACGAGCGGCTTGGGCCTCGCCATCGAGAGAGTACTCCAGTCTACAGTGATGGGGACATCGAGCTATTCCTGGACAATATCTGGGGGCATGCGAGGCGTATGGGCTGGATCGTCGCTCAGGCGTTTGAGAGATTGAGGGGAGCAGGTAGGTTCGAGGAGCCCATTGCCAGGATTCGTAGGGAGGCAACGACGAGGCAGGAGGTGGAGATGAAGATGGAGGAGTTGCGACCCTCGCCTGTGGGACCTGATGGCAGGCCGATCCGCCTGGAGATTGGAAAYGCGTCGGACTTCGTCCCCGCGTTTGAATGGTTTATGCAGGGACAGGGCATACCGAGAGATGATTGGATGCAGACGCTACCACTCTGGACCAGGAAGG